CTAGGGTTAAAATAGCAGCAACAAAACCAGCTTTGTGCAACTGGCCTTCTGAATTTGTAATATACATACATTTTTAATACTTACTTTTGTATTTTAATAGATTCCTCCTGCATGGAAAAACTACTTTCAAAAGATTGGAAGGAAAAAATGGAAAGACTAAATACCAGTGAACTTCTTGGAGAAATTAAAGGTACAATATAAAAAACATCAACACTAAATTCTTACCTCTAACACTTGATTATATATGAGAGGATAAATGTATAGTGTATCCCTGAACTTCCATTCTTTGTAATGTTGACAGAATGAAATTTTTGCCCACTCTTTGTATTAGTCTATAAGCATATAACTTATAGGATATACTGACTCATTTATTTACTTAACAAAAAAGTATGAAAAAGAAAAACAAAGGTATGTCAAAAGATGAAGAGAAAATTAAGTTAAAGATAATCTTAGTTCTTCCTCTTAAAATCGTAATAGCTTAATTTATGAAACCAAATTAATTTTCATTTCTTCTGAAAGGTTTATAGAATATGCTGTACATAATGGTTTGTGGGTGGATTCTGAAGCCTGTTGACCTTGGTTTAAATCCTGGCTCTGTCACTTACTAAATGAGTGACTTTGGACCAGCCACTGAACTTCTATGTTTTATATTCCTCATTTCTAAAGTGGGGACAATAATAGTACTTACTTCATAGGCTTATTAAAAGAGTTACTATAAAACACATAAAGCTCTTAGAATAGTACCTGGCACTTAAAGTATTCATGAGTGTAAGTTGTGGTAGTTGCCATTATTAATATGCCCATAGGATCATATGTTGATTAATCTCAAGCAAGTTTCATGGGATTTAGCATTTCATGATCTGTGATTCAGATAAGGATGAGTGGCTTTATTTTTGAATATATGTGATTGTTGTTGTTATTTTTAAACATGTTAAGAAGTGGACAATCCCAATCCATTCCAGTATTAAGTTACCCTATCTGTCAAGAGTTATACTTCTTGACTAACCGAAGTCTTATTGATTCATTTATAAAGATGAAGTACTGTATTACTAATTTTTTTGCATCATGAGTTGAATCCATGATCATTCATTAATTCCATCAGTCGTCCTTTACAGACAGTCATCATTCTGATTTGCACTAATAATTTGGTAACTTAATTACATTAATTTTCTGAATTTATCAAACAACTTTAGGTAAATCTTCCTATTGGTTGTGGATAATATCTCAGTAAAGATGAAAATTTGATAATAATTATCTGATGTAAATGTTATTTTGAATTTACTATAGAAAATTGCTTAGTGTTCAGATGTGTTATGTTCAACTCAAATGAAGAAAAAAGGAAGTCATCTTTTCCCCAATAAATAACTAATAACTCATTCTATTAACTAATATAGTATCAAAATCAAATGGAAATTGGATATTATTTTGCATTTCCATGCTTCTGTTTTGTACTTATAAAGGCCATTTGCTATTTTGGAAAAAAAGAAACTCAACTTATAACTGATGGGTAGAAAGAAAGTCATTAGTGACATATTCTCTATCCAGCTGCAATAACATGGTGTTTGCTACTTTGCACGTCATTCTGTTTTTTTCCCTTTCCAAAGTCATTGGTTTTATAACAGTCAGAACAGAAATGGTTTATGCAAAGGCAAGCTTTTGCCAGCATGAATGATGGGGGTCTTGCTTTCTCTTAGTAATGTGAAAGCTAACATTTCATTATGTTATTATTCAACATCCAATTTTTATATGTCAGGGCATCATTATCCCTCTACATTCCATATTTCT